ATTTCCCTCGGTCTTTAATTTTTACTTCTTTTTCTGCACAATCTCTCCGTAGCGATCCGCTTTGTGGATTCACCTCGACTCTCTCCATTTCCGTACCGGAGAATCGGCTTTCTCCTCCCCTCCCCCCCTTTTTTGTTTCCTCTTTCTATCTTTTTGCTCTTCTTGTTTTATCGTAGAATCACTGTACTCGAGACTACGGGGGAAATTTTCGCGATACGCAGCTTAGCAGCGCGAACGCGAAATTGTTGATGAACGTTTGCACGGACAAACGTAATTGAAGTTGCGGGCTAAATGATACCCGCGAATGCTTTGATACTTTGACGAAGTACTAATTGATTTTTCCAAATAACTTAACTACCTCAGATTAGATTTAATCTAGATGCGTTTACCGTGTAAGGAAAAAGCAAAAAAAAAAACGAAGAATTGCGAAATATCTGGGTTAATTAAAAAAGAAATAAAATAAACGAGAAAAACACGATGTAGGAAACGATCCTACCGCCTCGATGGTATTGGTACGTTGTACGTTGAATCCCCGATGGGTGAACGCTGAAGGAATCGATTGTACGCGACCCTGGCTCGCGTGGGCTCGTAGATTTTCCAGGATTTCGTAACCCAACAACGCAGCCTGGTTGCATGATGCAATCCTCGAGTGTAGGATGTGCTCTGGTGCGTGTTCAACCGCAAAGCACGGACGTGCACAGGCGTGGGTATTCACGTATTTACGCCCGCATCCGAGCGTTCGCGCTCGCGTTCTCGCTCGCGTTCTCGCTCGCACTCGCACCCGCGCCAACTGAGACGAGGTGTGCCCCGAATAACGGCACCGTTCTTGTACGCTTGAAACACGCGCAGGTATAAATAAAGTTTATGACGTCATCTTGCGAGCACAGAGCCCCGAATCCGTTCCGTTGTTCCAGTTCCTTCCTCGTTTCTCCCTCTCTTCTTCTTTCTTCTATTTTATCAGCGCCGCCATCACTGCGATCCTCTTCCGCTTTTGTCGGCCCGTCGAAATACATAAGCAGAAGGCAATCGTAGATATCGGCGATTATTCATTTATTTAACGGGCACGGGCCCTTTTGCGTCGAACACGCGAGCCCAAGTATAAAAGAGCGAGCGTTAATCTCGAGCTACGATTTCTGCACTTTCGCATAATACGAATGCTTTAAAGGAAGTTAGGGGATCCGTGAAACAAGTCGGCGATTTCGCTAACGCCGTTCACAGTTGAGCAACGTCTCTTGATACGATCGAAGTTACTTAAGTTAGTCCGCTATGGAGCGATACGAAGAAGTTGGCTTCTTCTAATGAATAATCCCAGGAGCATGTAGTTTCAGACGTTCTTTTCGAATATCTGGACAGTCAACGAACCGATAGAGCACTTAAATGGTTAAATTCGATGATTTCACAAGAAGGTGACGATTCGAGAGATAGTTAGGCAAATTCCGGTTTCATACTCACAGACCTGGTATTGAGTCGAAAGCCTGTGTATACACCGTGTTAACCCGATGATCATTGCTCCCTCGATAAATAGCGATGATACATCGTGAGATTTGTGGTCGTGAACGAACTCCAACGAAATCATGTTGCTCAAATGCAACGTAGTTTTTGATCACTGGATCTCTAGAATAAACTAGCAGTAACTGTACGAAGGCACGATAGACGACAAATAATCGCAGGATTATATGTATTCGCTTCGGAAAGTGGCCGGTCGAAATCGTGGCTGTTTAGCATTCCACAGTTAATTACATCGTGAACGGTAACCACGGCGCGCGAGGGTAGCTACGTAAAATCGTGATTGTTATTTTTACCTTTGGCCGCTCGCTCGTTTCCACTTATTCGACCCAATTACGCGAAATCTAATTTTCCATGGGGCTCAACACGTGCGGTTTACCCGTGCCACCGAACCAGTTCTCATTTTATAAAAGTGCCTGCCCGATTATCCAGAGGAAAGAGAGGACTGATACGAAACGCGACAAAAAAAGAAGAAATCCCGTTAGAACCCAGACAATCGTCGACTAGTTGCCAGTCAGATAAACTCTTAATTAATGCTATAATTAAGATCAAAGATTCGAAGCTTTAGCCGGGCTTTAAACGAGAACCGGCCTCTGTGCATTCGATCGGGTTACGGTGATTTATAAATTCATTCGTGTGTCTTGTGGAAATTCGTTCAAAGTGTTTTTAGATATCGGAATAATGTACATGTGTCTCTTGAGTTTTAATTTACTTGGCTACCGATTAAGGTATACAAGATATGCAAGATATCGCTATTTTCTTCATGAGTGGGACAGCAGGGTGCGGGGACAGCGCTGTATAAAAAGATCGGTCACCTAGAAACGTATCGATATCAGGAGAAAAAAATATAAAACGCTAGCGATCAATTTCGAAAAGGTACGTACGTCGTAAGTACGGTAGAAAGTATTCGTAATTGCTTTGAAACAGAATAACATGTTTAAAGTTCGACCAACACGATTTGAGCTTTTTTACGCTAAGAAGTTGGAAGGATTAGTTTAGTAGATGACGTGTAAAAAAGTTGTCGAGAGAAATGCAATTGGTTCGAATCGCGAAGAAAAACGTAAAGCATCTTACTCGTTATCGCATTTTACAAGTCTTTTTTAACGTCGCGTTAACCGTGACGAAACTTTAAAAAATTGATATATATATATAAACCGCTTACATTATATTACACCACTTATACAAAAAATTAGGAGATACGGTAAACACTGTACGACCGAGGAATAAAACCAGACCAGGATCTGCTCGTTTGAAAACAAAGATAAAGAGAGGCATATCTGTTGGACCACAGATAAGAAACTTAATAAACGATGAAACTTTTACAAGTAAATTACATGGGAAGACTTTGCATGTACTTTATTTGGAAGAAACGAGGCAATGCTTCCTCGGAAAACGAAAATGGAAAAATTCTATTCCGCATGAATTGATGGAAGAATATATCCTGAAAAGTACATTTTCTGCGCTCACGTTTGGATAACTTTCCTTCAAAGTCTGATAACGCGAACGACGAATGGACCGGTAGAACGCATCAACCGAGAAATTTCTATTATAGAAAGCGGTATATACACTAAGGAAAGGAAATGGCTGCAATGATTACCGACTACTGTTGAGCGCTTATTAACGATAATAAAAATTCATTGTACAAACGTCGAACAAGTTGCAAATATCTTTAAATCCGAAGAGAAGAAAATTGCACAGCCTCGCACCATCCAGAGCTGTTCTTCGTATTTCTTTTTTCGTTCGAATTCCAAAAAGATTAATCCCCGTGAATCGTAATCGCGGAGAAAAAAATATGGCGCGTTCCCGTGCAACACCCGGGTTTTCCTCTTCGCACATTCTGTCTCCCCTTTCCATTTTCCAACCGCTCGAAACCAATTGAATTTTAACGACGAATCGTTAACAGAGCTGCCTGAATGCAGGTACATCGTCATTTCTAGCGGAGTTAGATAGGAAAGCACGAAATTCATCGAAGAATCCTATTATTTGTTTCGATTGTGAGACGATGAATACGCGCGAAGCGAAAGATGCAAAAACTTGCACGTTCATCGACGACCCACGCGTATCGATCTTTTTCTCAATTCGGAAAATTCACGGCCTAGCTGTATACCGCTATTAATTGCGAATAGAATTTGATTGAAAAATTATTGAAAAATGTGATATGCATTTCACGTTGCCCGATTGATTGGATTTTATTTCGATTGATTTGTTGGCTTTGAACAAAATTTTACTGAATTTTAATATCATTTTTATAGGTAATTTAAATACTAATAATATGTTTCATGACTTTATCGATATGTTTATATGATTTTTACGAGGATAGAGTTGTTTCATCGGTAGGCATATATCATTTACAAGCTTCGTTCAGGTACTATGAAACAAGATCTTTCGATCGTTCATTCATTATTTTCATTGCTTTGTAAAAAAACGTCACCTAATTCGCTCTGTATCGATCGTCTATAAACCTGTCGGAAAATAAATCGGTACAAAGTAATTTATTTTATTATCCCGTTCGAACGGCGTGCTAATTGAGTGGTGGTGCAATCTGTTGCAAGCTCGTCGATAATAATTATTGCTTTCTTCGCGTCGTAATCGACAGCGCTTATTTTCGAACGCTTGACGAGTGAAAATTCGATGCACGAATAGTCGAGGATCGCATACATTGGACGGAAAATTTTCAATTGTCAATTGTTTCAATCGCGATTTAATTATAAAACAGTTACAGAATTCCAAGTAACAGGTTGCTTTCTAAATATATATGTTTACTGATATTTTCAATTTTTATTGAAAGCACGAATCTACCTTTTGAACGAACGTTCGTGTAATTGCGAACGGGAAATGAGTCACATAGGTGACTCAAAAACGTCGTTAAGTCGTAATTAATTCATGAATAAAGGCAGGTTTGCTTGCACGATGAACCTAAACGCGTTAAGCGTCATTAAATCTCAGAAAGCTAACCAAGGACAAGCAACACGTAACACTGTGACAATAATATAAAGCATAATGTCGAAGGCTAAATTCTTAATGGCAAGATGCGTTGATCGCGAAACCACGAACAACTCGACTTACAAGAGCGCAACAGCTTTTACCAATGTATCGTGCAAGAACAATTTCAATCGACCATCTGTTTATTATTTAAAGAAAGCACAAAAAGTAAGAAAGAAAAACGAACGAATGTGCGTAAAAGTATCGCATGGTCGCGAATCGAATCGCTCGCAAAGAATTGAATTCCAATTGAGGAAACGAAATCATAATATTTTCTCTGACGTTCTTTAGCCTGGCGTTTTCTGTAACGACCAAATCGCCGGCCAGATGCTGCACGTACGGTAGGCCAGCCTCGTAAATTATTCTTAAGTGCTAAACAACCTTGCGTTAAGTAACGTGCACAACCAGGCCGGAATATTCCTCTAATAAACGGACGTTTGTGCGCTCGAATTCCGTGAATTCGATGCTCGTGAATCAGCGTGCCAGGAATACTCGAATTTAAAATTTCATACGTACTTTGAGAACAGACTTCTGGAGAACCTTAGATCGCTCGAATATTTTAAGCTTGAAGCCCGAGCTCGTTCATTAACACCCTTGTCGCGAAATATAATTTCGCTTTGGGAAGTGTTACTATAGACGTTCGATCGCCAACTGCACGGATTGTGGCGCGAATTTTGGTCCTTCGCCGAATGATGGATAATTGATCAAGGGGTGATCACTGCCAAGGTTCACGGCGTTTGCGAAGCAACGGCAGGTCTCCTGGGAAATAGAAGCACATTCGAACGTTAGAAACATGTCGATGTCCAAGACGTTCGAATAACGATACTTTTTCATGTACATATTGGCCCTATCGAGGGAAATTTCGTCAGATTTTTGACGCTGCGAATTTTCAAACGCAAGCGTTAACTCCTTGATTACTTGCAATATTTTATTTGTAAATTACCTGTAATATTATATATCTTTGAAACTAGAATTTTGTTAAAAACGTATATAATGTTCCAAAGAGACCAAGAGATTGGAATACAAAAATCTACGTTCTTGGCCCGTTATTTTTTGCTTCAACGATCAAAGAAATTCCACCCCGGTAAACGTTTAAACTCTACGCAGAAATAAAAGTCCTGCAAATCCAACTGGCTCTCTGTAAAATATCACGTGCAATTTACATTTACGGCGCGCTACAAATTTAATACATAAATTTCATGCCAAGCGCGGAGCCATTTCGTTATTCAAAAAAACCGACAAACAAGAGACAAAAGGATAAAAAAGAAAAAAGCAACAAACAGGACAAAAGAGCAAAAAAGCAAAAAAAGTTGATACGCGCAATGACAGAATCGGATTGAACGAACAAGTAAACCGTTGTTAATCCGTCGATGGCGTAAGTATTTAATTTCTACGTTCTCACATATGTTTATGTTTTATACGTTTTTTCTCTCTTTTACTTTCTTTTCTTCGCCGAACGAATAAATGCCAATAAAAATTCGTATCGCGACTCAGTTTCCATTTCATCTCCGTTGAACAGCGATTATCATCCGGCTAATGATCACCGGTTTTCCACACTTCACGACAAGATCGCCGTCGCATATAATTGCGTGACCGATCTCTCGGATACGATAACGACCAATTAGGTACAGTGTGCGTCATAAGAAATTATTACTTAAGAAATTATTTCACTATTACTCGAGCTCGTTAATTTCCGGTTATTCAGATTTATCGCGTAATTCAATTAACAATACTCGGTAAGAATAATTAGATCGAACGACAGGACGACGATCCATCGATGTTCCACTGCTGCTGTTTCCGTTGGAACGCGTTGGCCAGAGAAATGACTAAAGCAATTAAACGGATTGAATGCCAACTATTCTTGGCCGTTTCTTTCGGCGTGGAAGTTCCAATGTTCTTAATATACGGCGTATACGCTTCTCCAAATTTTTCAAAGCAGGTATACGAGTCAAATCAAAGTTCGCATCCCTCGTAATCCCACAACGAAGATTCGTTGAAACAAACTTCACTGGGTTAACTGGACTCGTTTATCGTAGACCGTACGCTAACACCGCTGAACCAGACCGAATGATTTGACTGATCGAACGCATCATCTTTGCACGAACGGCCACGCGATTCTTCGTAAGTCTTATGCAAATCTAAAGATAGCCGTAAGCGAGCGGAATCTAAGAAAAATGCAAATTCAGTCTCCGGCGTTGGTCGAGATCTCCGTCGATCTGGCAGAACGTTCAACCAGGTCGTTGCATAAAGAAGAGAAAGAGCGAAAGATCGAGCTCCGGATCGAGGTACTATACTACGCGTTTCGTTGGTTCGACGACGATGATAGGCGTGTTACGCGTGGGCGGCTCGTCAGTGTTTCCTCGACAAAGGAGAACACGGTTGTCGGTGGTTGACGTGTGATCGATCCGCCGGATCGCTGCTCGATCCTGATTTACGCCCCCATAAATAATGGCTCCCTTTGCGCCTCCGTGCGATCCTGTCACAGGAATCTATGCACACGAACGACGATCGCGCCGCGGCCATCCAGTGCTCGGTCATCGATCCGTCAAACTGTCGATTCCTCGCTCGCCCGGAGCGGTGTTACGCGGCAAACAGAGTGGAGATGCGTGTCATAAGCAACCGGAGGATACGCTGCGTATCCCGTGTAAACTGTTATTTTCCATGTTAAATGGCTGTTGTCGGGAAACGTTAGAAGACCAGGTAAGAAATATACGGCTTCGTTTCGAAAGAACCAAGTACACACGGTACACTTTTTATTCTCTTCGTGCGAACATTTATAACTACGCCCCCGCGAGATTTAACTTTCGAGCAAGAAATATTTATAAGAAGTGAAATGAGAAATTTGAAAAAATTGAACGACAAACGAGATACAGCGTGTCGAGTGCGATCGAAAGAAAAAGAAAAAAGGCCAAAAGCAAAGCCTAGACTCGAACGAATCGACGTTTATCGCGTTTACTCGTTCGAGCAAATGTTCAATTGAATTACCTAACGAACGCGATTAATCACCATTTAATAGCGCATAATGACGTAATAATTTTGCACAGTGCGTGCTGCGATCGATGGTCGGTGACCATTACAACCGGTTGTACCATAATAAACGATGCCAATCTCGCAGGAAAGTACGTAAAACCGGAGATCGTTAAATCGTCCTCGAATAAAACTAAATGAAAACACATCGGCCCCGATGCGTGCGCTCTTTTTACGACCGCGGCCGTGCTTTCGTTCGATTTAATATTTAATGAACATTCGAGTAGCTGTACACGCGCCATTACATCTCGCCGTTAACGAGCACGCGTGTTTACATAATAATTAGTAAACGGAACTGTTGTCTTCTCGAGCGAAGAAATTTGACCAACCGTATGGACTCTTATGAAAATTCTAACGGAAATCGGTCATTAAAAATTATGCTCTACCGATAAATTGCAATTTACGCGCGATATTTAAGACGATTAAATCCGTGTAAATCGTTGTTCCGTGTAAATCGTTCATCCGTTTCTTCCTAACAAAATGACAAACGAGACAGGATATTATTTTATCCTAACTGCCGTGTGTATATATTATCACAACTGTTAGACCGAAAGCTGAGAAATAGAGAAAAAGAAGAAGAAAAAATAATATACAGCTCGTTATTATCGTCCACGAGGATCGTGATATAATAGTCTCGTTAAAAATTTCATTGTGCCCCTTTAATCCCGACGCCCCTTTAACTTTGTGTGCCACGTAAAAGCATAATCGCGGCCCTTACATAGTCATCATCGTCAGACGCTGAGGCAGCGAACTTCGTCCTTATCCGGCTATCTTGGCCGCCTTCGGAAACATTAATCACCCAAAGTATCGCACCAGGTAAAATTTCGTTCCTTCGGTTTCCAAGCGTTACTACCTCGCTTTTCTATTCGTTTTCGGAACGAATCGTAAGGTCGAACGGTAAAACCGTACCTTTTTTATTCTTTATCTACCGATAAACAAGGACCAAACGCTCAGCTATAATTGCATCAGCTGTTCGAATTTTGAACCTTTTTCTTTTCGTTCTCGGTGGCCTCTTTTTTACGATCCCAACACGCCTGCAGGATATGTTTCAACGAAATTTCAGCTGGTTCACACCTGTCCTTAACAGGTGACGAAGTTCCTGCCAAGCCGCCTGTCCTCGTGAAAACCTTCTTAAACTTACACGTGGAACGAGAATCGGCGATGAGGAACTCCACGCGTTTGGACGGTGTAAATTTATCTAGCCACGTAACGTTTTTACGGTTCTCTGGCCGCTATTAGGTGGCTTGCAATCGAGTAAATCTATAGATAGAGTCGTAGTGTATTCGATCGGACTTCTGTAGCGTTGGAATTCAAAGCTTCGCCTTAGAAGCATAGAGAGCGAGCTAAATACTTGCGGAGCTAACAAACCGCGAAGGAAAGATTGTCGCGTAAATATCAGAAATCGGGCGAAGCGGTTAATCGTGCAGACCGGTTGCTGCAAACGTCGCTGTAGGTAAAAAGGCGACAGGTAAAAAAAAGCAAATTCCGTACATTTAAGCGAGAATCGCACGGAAAGAAGGTAATAAAAATGTAGGAGACGGCGTCGTGGAGTGCAAGCGTTCGTAACTCGACGTGGGTGTTGTCTGCAAGGACACACGGACGCGCCTCGTGTAATTCCACTCGAGGTCCACAAAGAGGAGGAAGAAGTCGAAGAGACAGAGAGAGATAAAGAGAGAGAGAGAGAGGGGGGGGGGAGAGAGAAAGAGGACAGGGAAGGACAAAGAGAGAAAAAAAGTATGTATGTATGTAGGTATGTATGTATCTGGTATCGCGATATCTCGAGCGGAGGCGGACTGCGAGAGAAGCAAGAACTTCTGGATCTCGATTTACGGATACTTAAAGCACACCCACGAGTATAGTCTTCTCCATAGACATTAAGGAAAAAAACATCGTTTCGATATTGATTATTGTCGACCTTGCGCTTAGTTACGTCGAAGAGCTATCGTCACGCGGACTTCATTCGATCGACTTTGAGAATCTTCTCGTCTCTCGCTTAACATTGCTTCCTTTTTTTATATTTACAGTACCATAAAAAAGTTTTAACAAGTCCGAGGTAAATACGCTATTGCGCTAGATAAATTTGGATAAATCGTTGTATATCTCTCGTTCTTTTTTTCCACAGTTTTTTAATTAAGATCGAGCGTAGTCGATACTCGAACGATAGAAAGAAATCAACGACCTGACGATTCCTTCCTTAAACAACATTTTCACGTTAAGTGGCGTTCGGATGGTGGAAGATGGTGGGATAATCGTTTGCCAGAAAATTATCTACAGTTATAGACGGTGCTATAACCACGCTAATCCTCTGTCAATAGCGCAGACTCTATTTGACTTGACGTAACTTGCAGTGTAATGAAATCGGCCGCCTCGAAACGATTAAGCAACCAAAGTGGTCACCTCAAACGAGAATAGTTAACGCGTTCAACTAGTTACCCGCTGTTTCATTAAACACCTCAAAATGGGTCTATTTAACACCTGTTAAGATTCTCCCTAAGATCAACCATGCCGATGTTTAACCAAATCGATACGTCCTTACCTCCAACTTGAAATTGCTTTGCAAGTTGCAGTTTCGTACATGTTGAATATCTAATCCAAGATATCTCGGCCGGTTTATTTAAAAAGTCGCACGATCAACAAACGCAACTTAGACATTTACGTAAAATTTCGTCCTTTGATAAATGAAATTGCGAGCACAAATATTCAGGGTAAGCTAATGACAAAATCGACGCCTA